GATGATTTAGGTTATTCCGTAGGCCCCGTGTGCCGATGAGTCGCTACCCATTTAGGATGTGAGAGACTCACTCTTTGTCCGATGACTTAGCGCGAGCTTTGAAGCATCGAGATTGCTCCTACACTGAATAACCTTCCTTTGAGTACCTATTTTCCCAATTCACGTTAATCCAAGCAAAACTCCTTTTATCGAGAGTATTCTTGGGTACCCCCCAGGATGTAATTAACCAAGAGGATGTAATTAACCAACCCAGGATGTAATTAACCAAGAGGGATGTCCTATTGGGAGTGCTCTTGACCCCAAAACAGTCACCTATACTTGACTCTCTGGTTTTTGGTAGCCTACTTAGGTATTCTTTTGCGGATATCAGTTTAAGGTGCTTTCACCCAATCATGTTTGGTGGACACTCTTAACCTATCTTTGCAAGGTTTACCGCACGTAGACTCTCCACGTTTTATGTTTTTTCTTGTTTGTCGCTTTGTCGTATGTTCCTTTTTTTTGTCGTATGTTCCTTTTTATGTTCCTTTTTATTCAGTTTCTCTCTCTTCGAATAATTGATCTGATTCAGAATGAAGATTTATTCGAATGGGAGAAGTATACGACGATCGACACGCTGACAAATCCTTTTAAAATAAAAGAGAGAAAAACGAATGAAAACAACCTCTGTCAACCACCACCGACCATCATCAACTGTCGTCGACCACAGTTAACCAGACGCCACAGTCGACGTTGTACCTTGGAAAATCTAGTAACTATTTCCCATCTGTGGGACAATGAGTCTCAGTAATCATCAACTTATAATGAATTTTTATAACTGGACTAGGCCCCGTGGTTTTTTTCATTTACGGGTTTTCCACGTAAAAACTTGTGGTGTCATGACATGTCGATTCCCTTTCATCTAAGTGTGTGTTGAATCCTCAGACAATGCTGAGAGAATAAATCATTACTCTACCGCCACAAATTTCTAGCACGCACCAGTTTGACGTCGTCTGTAGGAAATGAAGCACCATTTGGCATTGCCTTCAGCTTTGAGACGTTGGATCCCTACTTCATTTCCAGATGATGTAGATCATGCAATTGACAAAAGAATCTTCTTTGCATCTTGAAGGTCATCTCAAAAGCATTCTTCAATGTGGAGGCAACCTTCTCTGCAATCTCAAAAGGTTGTTCACGTCAACGTCCTGAGCACGATTGTAGTGGGGTTGTCTTCTCGCATCCTATTCAGACACAAAAAAATGTCACAACTTCTTCCAGGCCGAGGGACAACCTTCACTGCAGTCTTGAAAGGTCGTTCACGTCGACGTCCCAGGCACAATTATAGTAGAGTTATATTCTCACATTTTATTTAGACACAAAGTATTTCACAAGTTCATCCACGCTGGGGGGCAACATTCACTGCAGTCTCGAAAGGTCTTTTTTGTTAACATCCCGGGTACAACTGTGGTGGGGATGTCATCCCACATTTTATTCAGATTACAAGCCTACCAAAATTGCTCATGTATTGTGGCAAATCTTCACCGGAAATAACACTTCCTCGGCGTCTCCTCATCGTACTGGAGTTCTTCATCAACTAGATCAAGAAGTTGATCTCTTTACAACCCAATACATGGGTTGTTTTGCAAGCTCACATGGAAAGCACCCGCACTGAGGGCTAAAAGATTCAAAAGTAACAACTAATAAGTTATCAAAAATATTTCTTGAGTATGATTGCAACCATATTTCCAAGAAAACATACAGTTCATTGCAATGTACACCCCAGTCTCGAGAAACACAGAGCATGTCTGACACCTCATTCTGGGATTAATCGATCCCAGGGAGACTTGATTCGATCTCTTCCATTACAGGCTACAGTCGTCAAGCAAAGGCTTCGACGTACAATCTCGGATAGGTAAAAAATTCTTGGTGGATTTCCTTTGACCTCTTCCATAACAGGTAGCGATCGTCAAGCAAAAGCTTTGACCAATAACCCAGGATAGGTCAACCATCTTAACTGGATTTCATATGACTTTATTCTTATAAGTTAATACCGTCAAGCATCTTCGATTATACAACTCATAACTGGTATTACAACCTTAATGAACTTTTTTTTTCAACCATACCCCTAGAAGTTGATCCTGGTGGACAAGACTTAATGAAAAACTACAATGCTCCAAGAAGTCAAGCCTCAAAAGGCAACGAGCCTCAGTAGGTACCAGTTCAAGCTACTATAAGACATAGGTTAGAGGGAGCACAACCTCGAAAGGCATGAACCATAAAAGGTACGTGATTCTTCATTTTATAAAATTTGTGTGTTAACTTAAATTGCAGATTTTCTACGATTGAGAAGCCACGACAACCTTAGAAACAAACAACAAAAAATGTTTCAAAATTGTCACGAAAAACATACTCGGGGGGGCAAATAACTACATATGTGTGGTGCGAATAACTTAACAATAACAATTACGCTACAAAAGAGTAAAGCACTAATCAACCTCTGCACCGCAACTCGACTCCACATTTCTTCGCAGCAACTCCTCACCGCAACTCGGCGCAACAACTCTTCACCGCAACTCTTCGCCGCAGCTATGCACCGTAACTTGGCGCAACAACTCTTTGTCGCAGTTCTGCACCGCAACACAGCGACTCAACACTTCGCCGCAACTCAGCAACTCGGAGCATAGCTCTTCTTTGCAACTCAGGACCGCAACACTTCGTCGTAACTTTGCACCGCAACGCTTCTCTGCAACTCTGCGCTGCAACTCATCACCGCAACTCTTCGCTGCAACTCTTCACTGTTACGTAAGACGATTTTCTTTTGAGAAATCCTGAATCAGCTGAAGACTTCGGGTCTGTTTGGCGCAGCTGTTGATTATTTATAATCTGCTGATAAGCAGATTATTCTGATAATCTGATAATCTGCACATTATCAGAATCATCTGTATTGTTGTTTAGGGCAGCTTATTCAATATAACTTATTGGTGGTTAAATGACATTCATGCCCTTATGTGCTAAAACTGTTTGGGGCAACTTATTCAGAATAACTTTTATTCAAGATAACATATTGGTGGTTAAATGACATTTATGCTCTTATGTGATAAAACTGTTTGTGACAGCTTATTCAGAATAGCTTATTGATAGTACTGAAGCATATAATGCAGAAACATAAAATCATCGCAGGTCAGTATAGAAATTTCAACTGAAATCCAGTCCTCTAGGGGCCAAAACCGAGCCCACCAAATGGAGAAAGAAAGTACATAACTTTTAAGATTTATTTTGACAGGAATAATAAAGCTCAAGAATGAAATCTCAAATCATCACCTCATTGAACATGTGATTCGAATAAGTAAATCACAAAAAAATATGTCAACCAAAAAAATTTTCCAACATAAACATTGCATTTCACTCATATGTTTCAGCTCCCCAATTCTATAACCATTCTCATTCGTAACAACAAACCATCCAACAGATCCAACAGAGCTGGCAGAAATTTGGATATGCAAGAATGCTTGGGCATGTAAATGCCCAATTATAATAAATAGGAGCATATAACATGTGTTCTTCATGTAAATACACAATTATAAAGAACAAAGCATACAATGTTAGATTAATGAAAATTCCCTATTTTTCATTTCAACCGATCTAGGGAAATGAAAAGCTTCCCAAGCATTCTTGCATTCAATATTTCCCCATCATTCAAAACATCATTCAAATCAACGTGAAATTCCCAAGCATTTCAACCGCAATAAAAATAGTAAAAATTCCCAAGCATGAAAATTTTGAACAACGGAAAAGGATCCTAACTATTTCACAGTAAATCAAACATTTCGCAGCAAAAAATTTCAATAAAATTCTAATGTTCCATTTCTAACGACCATAGGAACAAAAATTACTGTGAGAGGGTCGAATACGACCTCGCGGGAAGAAATGAGAGGGATATCGGGAAGGGCGAGAGTGTGATGTCAAAAAAATACCTCATATTGCGAATCACAGCCTCGTAAGCTTCGGGCGAGGTCGAGACAGAAATGACGAGACGGGAAGGTCGAGGGCAAGGGGGATAGACGGGAAGGACAGCACGGGAAAAATAACCCTAAACGCGAGAAGCATACGCGGAACGAAGATACGCGGAACAGCATACGCGGAACGAAGCTCCTGGCCAGATTACGCTCCCTTAAGAGAATCGCGATAAGAGAACAAAGCGTTTTCAAAACGTCTCACGCAAACGTCTTTTTCAAACGGAAGGTCGGCATTTTGAAAACGCTCTCAAACGAGTCCTTCACCTCTACCCTCACTTTCAGACCTATTTTATAGGCTCAAAAAGAATTTGAATTATTAAATACTCATTATTAAAATAAATAAAATAACCCTTCTGCTCCCTACAGCCGGCTTCCACTTCGGCTTCCTGCACTTCGGCTCAAGCCTTTTCGCCGATCCCGCTTCAGCCTCTTCCGTCTCCGTCGTTTGTCATTCCCATAATCAGTTATGCAATAATATTATGCGTGTATTAAAAGGATTATCAAAGCAAATTAAAGGATTAGCAAAAGCTGTCAAAGCGTAAAAAATACTATAATATACAAGTAAATACAACAGTTCGCTTTGTTAAAGGAAAATTATCTGAGTGCATGATTTATATCCCAAACTTTTAAGTAGAATAATTTATATAAAATTGAAACATATAGTGCTTCATATTACATAGTATAATTGTATGACTAACATTCCTCCATAAATTCACCGGCTACAAGCGGTCGACTACTCTAGGATCCATTTTCATGTTCCTTTTGAACTATAATGACATGCATAGAATATTTCCTAACAAATTGTTAAAAGACTGTACCATTCACAAGATCATTTCCTACCAAACAATAAACTTTTTTCTTAACTTACCATTCTAACCTTCTGCATGTCAGAAATACGTTTCATGTCATTTACGCAATAAAAACAAATCATCTTCTTTCTTTATATTTCAGAGATATATATGTAATTATTATTTTATAAAAACTCAAACATCCATCAGAGACAATAGCAAACCAAACACACATGTTCGTTATTCCATTTGAAATCCATCATTTTTACTACATAGAAGGGGATGTCACATACTGCCTGGGAACCATAAACAGATCCCTACCACAAAAAGGGCTGGTCCACTCCTCTGAACCCGTTGGAGCAGAGTAATCACTTAAACGGCTCCTAACTTGATGTAATGCCGGAAGATAAACACCACCACCACCTCCACCATTCATAGAACTTCCACCCATAAACATCGTCGACCACGTGTTGGACACAACATCAATCTTCATGGACGGCTTCCGCGGCATCGGATTTAAGCTCCAATCGATCAAAGTGTAGTCACGAAGTGGGGCGAAGCTATTCCAATCATTTTGAGACGACTCAGATGAAGGAGAAGAACCCCAGCCGGTGTAAAGTCCTAAAGACGACGGTGTCGCAAACGGCGATGGTGCATTCTGGGAGCGGCCGCTGCTCCAGCCAGCTGATGCCAGCAACTCCACCGGAACTGATGGAATCTGCTGGAGATTGTTTTGAGGGTAAGATTGCTGTACTGTAACACCACTCTTTCCCGTTCCACTATTTGCAG